ATGCCCCCACTCGCCCCCGTCGCTCACCTAGTCGCTGTTTTTGTGAATTTATGGATCAACATTGCATACCGCACGAGCAGGAGCAACTACTAGCCATCAACCATCAGCCATCAGCCATCGACTCTTAGCTTCCAGCTCTCTCAACTCTCAGCTGTTGGCACTCCAAAATTGACAAGATTGTTGTGTTTTTTTAATGGCTGTTGTTGTTGTTGTTAAATGAATTGATTCATCAGCTGAGGCATATTGATTGCTTATGCATTCTATGTAAATATATTCACTTCAATAGAATAACATATTCAATAGAATAATATTCTTTTATTGATGCTTGAATGAGCTAAGTACACGGATTCATTTATACATCTATTTTATATTTCTTTATTGGGGGAAACTGTTTTCTGATTTTTATGTGTTAAGTGTTCATGTAAATGAATATTGCCTTTGAATGCATAATACTTATCTACTTGCTCATCTTATTTATTAGATATAATATTACTAATCGCAAGTTTATTGAGCATATATCAACAGTTTATTGTATCAATTCTAATAATAGATATATTTTAGGCTAAGTGATAATTTATAATTGTATATTTAATTAAAGGTAACACTAAAATTGTCTAGATCTTTTATCATCTAGTTATCAATCTGCATCTATTCAAAACAGTTCCAGCTCAGGCTTGCACTCCAGCTGGCATTGAATAAAAAAATAGCAATTGCAAGCTCCAAATACCCCTTGACGTCCCCTGCAACTTCTGCAGCTGTTGAAGCCCACAAAAATAGAGAAAGATGTGATGTAGAGAGATAAATAGAGAGCGATAGAGAAAGAGAAAGAGGGAGAGAGCGAAAAACCAGTCCTGCCATAATCAGGTCATGCCTTGCCTTCTCTCGGCTAACGGAGTCAGAGCCAAGAACAGTTCCAGGCAAAAAGCGCTCCGCCTTGCCAATAAATTCACGCTAATGGCTAAATAAAAAAGTAAACAAGAAGCAGAAGAAGAAGCCGCAGCAGCAGCAACATAAACAGCAGAGGCTGGGACAGCGGCAGCGGCTGAGACTGAGACTGAGACAGTCTCTTACATTTAGCCGCTCATCAATAATGAAGTACCGTTAGCTGCTGGCTGCTGGCCGCATGCATGCAAGATCGTGTGTCCAAATGCAACTGGTTGTCATTGTCAAATGTGGAGGCATGCGTCAATAAATTACCTAGAAGAAGCAGAACAAAACAGCAACAACAACAACAAATGCCAACAGAGAAGCAAAAAAAACGGCTAAAAAGCCAAAGAGCCAACACTGGCTAGGGGACTGGGCGACTGGCTGCCAACTGGGAGCAACTGGGAGCAACGGTACATTATGCAATCACGGCATGAATGAGACACTCTTGACCGAGTTTCCATAGCCAGGCAATAACGGTAAATGCGACGTAACGCGACAGCTGACAAGTGCTCTGCAGCGCAGCGCCTAACGGGTTCTCGTTGCTCGCTGCTCGCTGCCCGGTGCTCAGCGCGATATGAATCGAAAGAAACAGCGCGAAAAGAAGAATTGCAAAAAGTCAGCGCGATCAATTCAAATTCAGCAACGAATTGGCAATTAGGAAGAAGAAGCAACTAAAATATATAATGCGGAATATAATTAAATAACAAATAAGCATTTAGCCATTGAGTGTATCGGTCATGTAATATTCTATTTACATTTTGATTTGGACTCAGTGCATGAGAATAATTAGAATTAATTGATGGGAGGTCTATCTCTAAGGTGTCGTAGAAACAATTATTAAAACTGAGATCGAAGTGGGATTTACATTAATTGAATCTGATCTAATCTTAGAGATATTTATAGTTAAAGAGTCTAGGTAGTCATTTCAGACTGAATTCAAACAAATAAGCAGATAGTAATAATACCTTAGATTACGTCAATGTCTCAGATATATACCATATAAGAATAATGCCTATTGTGTCTAAATTGAAAGGAGTGGAAATGCTACATGTTTTGTGTAGCAAATTACAATTTCCAGAGTCTTCTAAACACAGAATTTTATGTGAGCAATGAAATTCATAGAATTTTGATATGGGAAATTATAACGAAGATCTCAACGCAGTCCCTACATCTAAAGCCAACAGAAAGAGAATCAGAGTGGTTCGTAGTAGTAGCAGGCCCACATTAGATCATTAATAATTATTATGGTAATATTCCGATTTTTGGCAATTATTGCAACGTAATTCCAATGGTATGTGGCCCCATTGGAATGCATAAATAACATTACGAAAACATTATATGTATACAATAATAACATTGCATATTTCCAAAGATCTGATTATTAATTTCATTTCACAAATGATATTTTTAAGCGATATTTCCCTCTGGGCTAGACAAAAATTCGATTTTCATTAGTTATAAAAACGTTTATTCACATGGACATTAATATAGATGTGATGCATACATTGATTATATAAGGATAAGTACGGCGCATTGCTATAAGTCTGATAAATGCCCCTCGGGAGTCGGCGACACTCGTCTAGTCCACCAGATGGGTCTTGACCAGCGCTACGATGGGCGCGGCAGTGGGCATGTTGGGATACTCGCCAGCGCTGCCAGCGATATCCAAATGGGTGTACTTGAGGGGCTGCTTTGAGTTGACGCCATGCTTGTCGAGGCCTGTGGCCTTGATCATGAAGGCAGCGGGCACTTGGTGACCGCGTGGAGTCTTAACGGATGGCGCATTGTTGGCCTGGACGACATCTTCGCCCCTGGCTTTGGCGGCATTGAAATCGAAATCGCATTGACGCAATACGGAGACCTCGAAGGGTTCGCCGTAGGCCTGGCCAGCGGCCTGTAGCTTGCGAGCGTGATCCTCCTTGGCGGCCACACTGTTGTCCACAATGATGGATTGACCCTCGCCCGCCGAGATGAAGGCGTGGCCTGTCAACGTGGCAATGGTGAAGATGTGCGGATCGGGCAGATTGCCTTCGATGGCAAGCTCCTTCATGCGGCAGAGCACATCGGCCATGCACATGCGACCCTCAGCGTCCGTATTTCCTATCCGGACACGGACGCCTGCACGCGAGGTAATCAGCTCGTCGGACACGTAGCACTCCTCGCCCACGGAGTTGCGCACCAGGCAGAGGGCGCCAATCACATGGATGTCCTTCGGTTTCAGCTCGCTTACCACTTGCATGAAACCGGCCACAGCCGCTGCTCCGCACTTGTCCCGCGACATGCCAGCCATGACGCCTCCGGCCTTGATGTCAGCGCCGCCGGTATCATAGGTGACGCCCTTGCCCACTAGCATTACAGTCTTGCGCGCCGGATTGGGCGGCTTATACTCCAGGTAGATAATACGCCCCTGATGGCGCTCCACCGAATGGGCAGCACGGTTGACAGCTGCGAACAAGGGATACTCCTTGTTGATCACGTCCACATCGTCGATGACATTGACGGACAGATTGGCAAACAACGGCTTAATGTAGGCCTCCACAAGTGGTGGAGCCATGCGCTCCGGATCTCCGCCTCCAATGTCGCGTGCAATGAGACGACCCGATTCCAGGACCAGCGCATCCCTCATGATCTTCTCAGCATTGGGATTGTTGATCAGCACGGAGAGTGAATTGATGCGCTGCTTCTTCGAAGGGACATCCTCACGCAACTGAATGGGCTGTGGACAGGATTGGAGGCATGAGTGTGAGAGATGGATAAAATATGCTCAATTTACATACCACATAGAGCTCCTCGAGAGCACCAAGGACCGTGCACAGCTCCGCCTGGGAAAAGCGCTTGCTTTGGGGCACCACCAGAAGTGGCGCCTGGAACCCAGCCTAGTTCACAAAATAAAAGTTTAGTTTCATATTCTAAATTATTTCACGAGGGATTCGCCCACCTTGATGGCCCTCTGCAGCGATTGAGCTGCCGCCTTCTGATAGCTGCGCACATCCGCATAGTCCGTTAGCTCCTCTACGGGCGCATAGATGACGGGCAGATCGAGGTTCGCAGACTTGAAGCAAGAGACGACACTGTCGAAAGCCTTGTCGAAGGACCGATGCTCCTCAAAGACGTCAGCCAGCTCGGCGGGCACAGCCCGGTCAATCACGCAGAGCACATCGTGACCGGACTTGGCCAAAATATTGGACAGCTTCACGGTGCAGGGCAGAAGTCTTAAAAGGTAAGAGAAGACAAAAAAAAAAAAAAAAAAAAAAAATTTTTAAGCAAAACTTTCCATTCATAGGGATATATGTGGTAAGAATAAGTAAAGATAAAATAGAATAGAAGATAAACTTTTACTCTGAATACATACAAATTTTGTTTTGTTTAAAATGTAGTATAAAGTTTTAGAAATTTTCCAATGAAGAAGCTGCTTGTTCGTGTGGGCGAGTATTTACTGTGCATAAACTATGCATTCAATTTATTTTTATTTACTTAACTGCAGCAGTTGAAAGTTAATTGAAATGCAATTTTATCACGTCTAGCAGCAACTTTTTTCAATTGACAGTGAATAGAGAGTGCCGAGCGATTTATGGGCGACGCCTTGTTACAGTGGGGCGTCTTGCTGATAAGCCAGCAACAGAACAAGATTATCTCGACTTTGAAGTGCAATAAATAACGGCGATTGCGTTAAGCGAGATAAGTTAATAACAAATATTTGAGCTAGGTGCAAGCCAATTTGCGGGAAGATTTGCCTGCCACTCAACAGAGAGAGGGAGACCTGAGCTTTCCAGTCTAGCCGGTCCTTGCAAATGGCGGCGATAAATTGCATTCACTTTCCACGCAAACAGATCTCAACTTTACTTACTTTTCGAGTCCCATGTTGATGATGTGCAGAGCGGCAGCAACTGAAGCGTACGGCAAGTGGAAAGTCACTGATTGGGCGCTGGGCGAGCGTTGAAATTGTAATACAATGGAATAGTGGAACTGGAAGAAGCGATAAGGCGCCGATAATGAATGTGTTTTGCTCTTGTGTTATGTTTGATATTTGCTAAAACGTTGCTATTGACAGCGCGAATCGTTGTGTTGCGATTCTAAAGCGTAGCCATCGGCTTTATATACAGCGCGCCCATCGCCACAAAAAATAAAAACAAAACACTGTGCACGAGCTATGATTAATAGCAGGTATGTTATGATTGAAATTGTAGCCTGTGCATTTTGCATACACAACAACAATAACAATACATAACTATTGCAGGCAACTGCTACTCACGTTGTCGTTGCCACAGAGCAAAGGCAAACACTTGGAGACCGCGCGATTCTCTTGCGAGTCACGTTCGCAGCGAATGAAAAAAAAAAAAAAAAAACAGCTGTTGGCTGGAAGAAAGCCGGTCAGCTGTTCGCGCGGGTCGTGTTGCCAACTACATTCAATTTTAAATTAAATTTTCCAATATTTCAAAAGCAAATAGAAAACCAATTAAAGGTATTTAATTTAAAATTATAATTTGATAAGAAATACTATATAAATTTAAGGTTTGTTAATTGCTATATGTATATAGTCTACACTTATAAAATGTTCGATTTAATTTCTGGCAAACAACGCAAAGCTCCAATGAATTCATATCAATAGAATTTTGATTTGTTTATAAATTCATAATTTTTTCTCATTTCGACATTTGCTTAAGCAAATACATGCAATACACTTTATTATGTATGTTTCTATTGAATGTTAAATTGTGTCTGTTATTTGGTCAATTGGATTTAAAACAACGGCTTTTAGTGAAATATATAATCTCCTTCCAAGCTCTTATTCTCCATTTATATAAGCTTGTATTTCGTTAATCAGCTGTGGCAGCTGCTTGGCTTCTAGCGCCAGAAGTTTCCTGTATGGCTTTAAGCCACCCACGTCCTCTGGCCAATCACTTTCGATGTCCATCGCATACTCGAAACTAAATTTGGAACGTTCGGCCAGCAGCTCCTCTTCGGCATTGGTGAACTGATCCTCGTCTGGTTTGCCTTTCTTGCCTAGCTTGCGGTGGAACTTGACCAGCATTAGCAGCGTGCCAAAGTTGAACTTCATTTTCTTGGCCTTGGCCGCTTCAATTTCCTTATGCAGATTTTGCAGTAGCGGCACAGAAATCTGTGCTGGGATGTTGATGAAGCGCTCGTTGATCAGAAGGCCTACGTGCTGTTGCTCGTTGTCAAGCAGATCGCTCAGTTGCTCTTGCACCTGTTTTGTGGCATGCTTCGCAGCCCGTTCTGTTATGTATTTACGCAGCTGTTCTATAACGGGCTTATCCTTTTTGGCCGTTAGATTTACCACAGATGTGATGCCAAAGATGGTGTCATCCTCGACCATGTTGTCGTCCGTTTCACTATCGGGGCCGTCATCCATGCACTGGCATATAACGCTGCCCACAAAGTTTTGCGCTGTTATAGAAGAATTGTAATTGTGGTTCGGAATCGAGAATTAAGAATCAACTTTACCTATGAGAAGTTCAGCCAGCTGATTACAATTGATCTGTGCGCGCGGTACGAGGCGCTGCAGCAACTGTGAAATGCCCTCCGCATCTGGATCTACTGGTGCGCGTCCCTCAAATTCTATTTGCAGCTCCTACAATTGGAAGCGCTAATTAATTGACTTTATTTAAAAAGATAATGTCTGTACCTCTTTCTCTTGGAACGATTCTGAGTCCATTCCATCGCTGTCGTCACTTTCCATATCGTCATCTTCCTCTTCTTCATTATCGTCATCGTTTTGAATATTCTCATCTTCACTGGAGCTGTCAGCTTCAGCCGCTTTTAAATTCTTCTTTTCGTTTGCTGACATATTCTAATATTTATTATTTTTCAAACTAATTCAAAAAGCGAAATGCTCCAAGCGCAATAAACATTAAACCTCAGCTGTTTGTCAACACACGTGTTGGTCGCTCAGCGCTGCCAGACTGTTAAAATACACACTTGTTCTTTTGAGCCGTGAAGTTCTCGCGGGCTCATTTTATTTCAGTTCAATAAAAAACAAATTTTCCAGTTTTAGAAAATGCAGCAAATAATTTTTAACATAGCTACACTCTAACATATTTTAAATTGTTAAACAATATACAAAGAGCATCTTATAGATAGATGTGTGCATTGTCATTATGTTTCGTCCTTTTTGAGCTGCTCGTCATATTGCTGCTGGGTCAATAAGTTGGATATAATATCACTGCAGTTCTCGATCTTGGGCAACAATATGGCAAAGTATCCCGCGCCCTCAGCGGCCTGATGGAGCTGCTTGGCATCCGTTTGCAGCGCAGTGTTAACCTCCACTAGCTTGCCTCGTATGCAGCTGGGAATTTTGTAGACTGTACCAGTCTCGGTGGTCAGCAGGGCGAGCGTTGTGTCCTCCTGCAATATCATGCCGCCCTTCTTGGCCTTGCCCTTGACCACATTCTGGCTGCGATCCATATTGCCCACATCGTAGCTAACGGAGGCGATGCCCTCGGCATAGGCGGGATGAGTGGGCGCAAGGCAAATGAGACAAATGCGATTGGAGTGATAGAGCACCTGATAAGGTGCTCCACCTTTGATGTAGTAGTAGCGTGTAAAGAAGCGATCCACCACGCTAGGGTAGTTGGGGTCATACCAATCAGTGATTGGGCTCACGACTTTGCCGCAAATCTTCTGCTCTTCATGCTGAAAGTAGTACGGGGCGAAGGGATCTTCCTCTGCTCCGACTGCTTCAATCGCTGGCATCTCTATTTAGTTGGATTCGCCCTGCTGCAGTTTTTGCTTGTATTTTTCCTGGCGTTCCCTTGCCTTGGCGCGATTCGCAGCCGACCGTGCTATACGTTCCGCCTTCAGGCACTTAACCACTTTGTCGTCGATGGAGTTGCAAATGCCAATAAATTTACCAAAAGCGTTCTGAATGCATAAACCTTAGTTAAGCACGTTGGAAAATGGCAAGACATTAACTTACATTATCGTGACAGGCTTTGAGCTCTTCTATTAGTTGATTGCAGGCTGGAGTATGCAGATGGGCCGACAGATCTGTGTGCATTTTCAATTACTAGCAGTTTTATGAAACATTAAGTGCAGCACTATTTATTTATTTACTTCATTCTCCGTTACTCTTACGCAAATGCTTATATCGGGCTGTTATCGATTTGCCGGCGATATATTGCCATGCAATCAGCTGTTCTAAGCAAAGATACTAAAATATACTAAATGCAAATAATACTCAAAAGCAACGGTTGCTTAGGTTTTTATTTTTCAAAAGAATATTTGTGGTATTTCAGTTTTTATTATATTTATTTATTTGTGTATTTTACCCGCTCTCACAGTTGATTTTATATAAGTTCTCAGTTTGTCATAGATATTGTATATGTAAATATCAGCAATTTAACATATTTTGTATCTCTCACATGCCTTTATAAATGTATTTGTTTTTATCATTTATGCATAATTAGAAAAAATTGATTTAACGTCTTCACTGTTTACTTTTTCTTTTACCGAAAAGTCTTCTCAACTACATCATCGAAATAAGGTTGTCTCAAAAATAAACTAACTGTTGTTTGCTTGCTCAAACACCTGTTAAAAACTCTGCTAAACTCTCCAAAAAAAATTTACTGTGCGCTGTTGTAACAACTAGGTCAATATGTGGATTGGGTTTGGTCTTGGTGGTTTGTTTTGTTAGATATCGTCAATAATTCGTATTTTAATTGGCTCTCAGTTTGCTCGTTAAATTTGCTACACTCAGTTAAAAAATAAAAATCTGATTTAACTCTACAAAAAAAAGACAATGCTATCTCTCTCTCTCTCACTTATTAATTCACTAAACGGTGAACGTTGTCAGTGTGTGTGTATGTATGTGTGTGTTTTACGCTCTCATGTGTGCATTAGTTTTCTCTCATAAAGCTTTCAGTTCGGTTATATTATAAGTACAATCAGATGAAACAGAAAATAAAAACTACAAACTTCAAAAATTCGAAAAAAAAAAATAATAACGGCTCTCTTTTGTCTTACGCTGTTGTTGTTGCTGTTCATTTTTGTTGTTGTTGTTTGTGTGTTCGTCAATGGATAACAAATACGTTAACAATTCTTTGCTCTCACTTGTAGCTCGATTTGTTTCTCTCTCTGTCTCTCTCTCTCTTATATGTTCCTAATAGCTCTCCCTCCCCATGCTGATACAGTTACTTGACTTTAGACAGCTACTGTTTTCTCTCTCTCGCTATATATATGTATATGTATCATTCTCTCATTAAAACAAACTAAATGGCAGGCTTACTCCTTGACGGAGCCAATACCTCAACTCGTCTTTCTCGGCTCGGCTTGGACATTGCTCGGTTGCGCCTGCGCCTGCGTCTGGGCCTGCGCCTCAATGCTGGCTAACGCGGCTTCCGACATTTTCTTGTATTTGCCCGCCAATTCGGGCAGCTCGTAGGCAATGGCCAGGTCCAGCTTGGTGATGGGACAGCCGCGGAAGTAGGTGCACGTCTCGGAGAGCTTCTTGAACTCGTACAGCGGATTCAGGCGGAAGAAGTCGCGATAGACATCCGGATCGGGCAGATCGTAGCGCGAGATATTGGTCAGCGTGGACAAGCCCTCATAGATGTGATAGTTCTGCGGATGATCAATGATGTCGTCCGCGATGCGCTTCTTGTTGCCAAACAGAGTCTTGTGGTTGTAGTAGGTGTTCAAATAGCAGTCGACCATCTTGGCATGATTACGCACACGCACCTGGAATACATAAAGCAAACATATAAATCTAATTCATATCCCATCCATCCAACTCAGATATATCAGGCTCTACTCACGGCAAAGCGACGAGCGCTTGCGATCTTGTGCTCGATCCTCTTGTCGATAGCTGTGCGCAGATCCCGCAGGAAGGCGCGCTCCTGGGCCAGCAGCAGGCGAGCTGGTGCGCCCTCCTGATAGGGATGCGTCCAGAGAGAGGTAGTGTACATGAGTGGCGGCTGTGCCGACGACATCAGCGGCGATATATTCCATATGAGTGCGCCCTGAACGCGCAGCAGCTCTTCGGGCTTCACGGTGTCCGCCTTGTTCAGTATGATGCGCGTCTGATACTCGCGCCCCTTCAGCTGATCGAGTATGGCCTCGGTCTCTGGGCCCACATCCAACTTGGCTGGGTCGTAGACCAGAAAGATGATGTCGGCCCGATCGATAAACCACTGGCAGGCGTCGTTAAAGGGAAAGACGCGAGAGACCTGCTTGCGTACTTCGAGTATGCCAGGTATCTCAACGATGTTGACCTGAAAGCCAAAATTACGAAAATTGAAAAATTCGTTTACCAAATGAGTATGAGTATGAGTGTGAGTGCGAGTGTGAGAGAGTATGCGTGTGTATGAGTGTGTGTACTACATCATCAACATTTAGCCATTGTGTTTAGCTATTTTCGACATTTAATAACCAGAATACTATATACGATCTTGAGCTCTTGGGCATTTTGCCAACGGCTGAGCATATCAAAAAACATATTTCCCAATCGACGAGCTGCCCTGCCAAAAGCTATTTGGGCGACAAGTTAATGCACTTAGGCAACAAGTGCATGTGCCTAGCCCACATCTATATATATATACCTTTGCCTATCTAGTACGCATACCTTTTCGAGCAGCTTGTTCTTCAATTTCAGGCCGCGCAGACGCTCTTCCAGACCCTGGCCGAACTTCTGCAGACCGGAGAAGGTATAGTCGGCTGCCAGCTGGGTGCCGTCTAACACTTCCGTCTC